TGGCATTATCGTAATATCTTGGGGGATTTTTTTTCGAAAGGCCATTTTCCATGGATTTTGAAGGCTACTGATCACGGATTCGGCCTGAGGCTATTCTTCAACGTCGATTAAGTCCATTAAGGACCGATTTGGGCGGATTTCTTCCGGGTCCATTTTTGGCAGATTGCAAAGGGGTACCATCACAGATTTCGGGCGATTTTTCCGAAATGCCATTTTCTCTCTATTTTGGAGGCTACAGATCACGGATTCAGCCCGAGGCTATTCTCCACATATAATGAAGTCTATTGATCCAATTCTCCAAGGATGATGAAGCCCATTAAGCACCGATTTGGGCGAATTTATTTTCGGATGGCATTATCGTAATATCTTGGGGGATTTTTTTTCGAAAGGCCATTTTCCATGGATTTTGAAGGCTACTGATCACGGATTCGGCCTGAGGCTATTCTTCAACGTCGATTAAGTCCATTAAGGACCGATTTGGGCGGATTTCTTCCGGGTCCATTTTTGGCAGATTGCAAAGGGGTACCATCACAGATTTCGGGCGATTTTTCCGAAATGCCATTTTCTCTCTATTTTGGAGGCTACAGATCACGGATTCAGCCCGAGGCTATTCTCCACATATAATGAAGTCTATTGATCCAATTCTCCAAGGATGATGAAGCCCATTAAGCACCGATTTGGGCGAATTTATTTTCGGATGGCATTATCGTAATATCTTGGGGGATTTTTTTCGAAAGGCCATTTTCCATGGATTTTGAAGGCTACTGATCACGGATTCGGCCTGAGGCTATTCTTCAACGTCGATTAAGTCCATTAAGGACCGATTTGGGCGGATTTCTTCCGGGTCCATTTTTGGCAGATTGCAAAGGGGTACCATCACAGATTTCGGGCGATTTTTCCGAAATGCCATTTTCTCTCTATTTTGGAGGCTACAGATCGCGGATTCAGCCGAGGCTATTCTCCACATATAATGAAGTCTATTGATCCAATTCTCCAAGGATGATGAAGCCCATTAAGCACCGATTTGGGCGAATTTATTTTCGGATGGCATTATCGTAATATCTTGGGGGATTTTTTTCGAAAGGCCATTTTCCATGGATTTTGAAGGCTACTGATCACGGATTCGGCCTGAGGCTATTCTTCAACGTCGATTAAGTCCATTAAGGACCGATTTGGGCGGATTTCTTCCGGGTCCATTTTTGGCAGATTGCAAAGGGGTACCATCACAGATTTCGGGCGATTTTTCCGAAATGCCATTTTCTCTCTATTTTGGAGGCTACAGATCGCGGATTCAGCCCGAGGCTATTCTCCACATATAATGAAGTCTATTGATCCAATTCTCCAAGGATGATGAAGCCCATTAAGCACCGATTTGGGCGAATTATTTTCGGATGGCATTATCGTAATATCTTGGGGGATTTTTTTCGAAAGGCCATTTTCCATGGATTTGAAGGCTACTGATCACGGATTCGGCCTGAGGCTATTCTTCAACGTCGATTAAGTCCATTAAGGACCGATTTGGGCGGATTTCTTCCGGGTCCATTTTTGGCAGATTGCAAAGGGGTACCATCACAGATTTCGGGCGATTTTTCCGAAATGCCATTTTCTCTCTATTTTGGAGGCTACAGATCGCGGATTCAGCCCGAGGCTATTCTCCACATATAATGAAGTCTATTGATCCAATTCTCCAAGGATGATGAAGCCCATTAAGCACCGATTTGGGCGAATTTATTTTCGGATGGCATTATCGTAATATCTTGGGGGATTTTTTTCGAAAGGCCATTTTCCATGGATTTTGAAGGCTACTGATCACGGATTCGGCCTGAGGCTATTCTTCAACGTCGATTAAGTCCAGTTAAGGACCGATTTGGGCGGATTTCTTCCGGGTCCATTTTTGGCAGATTGCAAAGGGGTACCATCACAGATTTCGGGCGATTTTTCCGAAATGCCATTTTCTCTCTATTTTGGAGGCTACAGATCGCGGATTCAGCCCGAGGCTATTCTCCACATATAATGAAGTCTATTGATCCAATTCTCCAAGGATGATGAAGCCCATTAAGCACCGATTTGGGCGAATTTATTTTCGGATGGCATTATCGTAATATCTTGGGGGATTTTTTTCGAAAGGCCATTTTCCATGGATTTTGAAGGCTACTGATCACGGATTCGGCCTGAGGCTATTCTTCAACGTCGATTAAGTCCATTAAGGACCGATTTGGGCGGATTTCTTCCGGGTCCATTTTTGGCAGATTGCAAAGGGGTACCATCACAGATTTCGGGCGATTTTTCCGAAATGCCATTTTCTCTCTATTTTGGAGGCTACAGATCGCGGATTCAGCCCGAGGCTATTCTCCACATATAATGAAGTCTATTGATCCAATTCTCCAAGGATGATGAAGCCCATTAAGCACCGATTTGGGCGAATTTATTTTCGGATGGCATTATCGTAATATCTTGGGGGATTTTTTTCGAAAGGCCATTTTCCATGGATTTTGAAGGCTACTGATCACGGATTCGGCCTGAGGCTATTCTTCAACGTCGATTAAGTCCATTAAGGACCGATTTGGGCGGATTTCTTCCGGGTCCATTTTTGGCAGATTGCAAAGGGGTACCATCACAGATTTCGGGCGATTTTTCCGAAATGCCATTTTCTCTCTATTTTGGAGGCTACAGATCGCGGATTCAGCCCGAGGCTATTCTCCACATATAATGAAGTCTATTGATCCAATTCTCCAAGGATGATGAAGCCCATTAAGCACCGATTTGGGCGAATTAATTTCGGATGGCATTATCGAAATATCTTGGGGGATTTTTTTAGAAAGGCCATTTTCTATGGATTTTGAAGACTACTGATCACGGATTCGGCCTGAGGCTATTCTTCAACATCGATTAAGTCCATTAAGGACCGATTTGGGCGGATTTCTTCCGGGTCCATTTTTGGCAGATTGCAAAGGGGTACCATCACAGATTTCGGGCGATTTTTCCGAAATGCCATTTTCTCTCTATTTTGGAGGCTACAGATCGCGGATTCAGCCCGAGGCTATTCTCCACATATAATGAAGTCTATTGATCCAATTCTCCAAGGATGATGAAGCCCATTAAGCACCGATTTGGGCGAATTTATTTTCGGATGGCATTATCGTAATATCTTGGGGGATTTTTTTCGAAAGGCCATTTTCCATGGATTTTGAAGGCTACTGATCACGGATTCGGCCTGAGGCTATTCTTCAACGTCGATTAAGTCCGTTAAGGACCGATTTGGGCGGATTTCTTCCGGGTCCATTTTTGGCAGATTGCAAAGGGGTACCATCACAGATTTCGGGCGATTTTTCCGAAATGCCATTTTCTCTCTATTTTGGAGGCTACAGATCGCGGATTCAGCCCGAGGCTATTCTCCACATATAATGAAGTCTATTGATCCAATTCTCCAAGGATGATGAAGCCCATTAAGCACCGATTTGGGCGAATTTATTTTCGGATGGCATTATCGTAATATCTTGGGGGATTTTTTTTCGAAAGGCCATTTTCCATGGATTTTGAAGGCTACTGATCACGGATTCGGCCTGAGGCTATTCTTCAACGTCGATTAAGTCCGTTAAGGACCGATTTGGGCGGATTTCTTCCGGGTCCATTTTTGGCAGATTGCAAAGGGGTACCATCACAGATTTCGGGCGATTTTTCCGAAATGCCATTTTCTCTCTATTTTGGAGGCTACAGATCGCGGATTCAGCCCGAGGCTATTCTCCACATATAATGAAGTCTATTGATCCAATTCTCCAAGGATGATGAAGCCCATTAAGCACCGATTTGGGCGAATTTATTTTCGGATGGCATTATCGTAATATCTTGGGGGATTTTTTTCGAAAGGCCATTTTCCATGGATTTTGAAGGCTACTGATCACGGATTCGGCCTGAGGCTATTCTTCAACGTCGATTAAGTCCATTAAGGACCGATTTGGGCGGATTTCTTCCGGGTCCATTTTTGGCAGATTGCAAAGGGGTACCATCACAGATTTCGGGCGATTTTTCCGAAATGCCATTTTCTCTTTTTTTTTTGAGGCTACAGATCACGGATTCAGCCCGAGGCTATTCTCCACATATAATGAAGTCTATTGATCCAATTCTCCAAAGATGATGAAGCCCATTAAGCACCGATTTGGGCGAATTTATTTTCGGATGGCATTATCGTAATATCTTGGGGATTTTTTTCGAAAGGCCATTTTCCATGGATTTTGAAGGCTACAGATCACGGATTCAGCCCAAGGCTATTCGTCACCAATGATTTAGTCCATTAAGTACCGATTTGAGCTAATTTATTTTCGGATGGCATTTTCATAATTGTTTGGGTCATTTTTTTCGAAAACCAATTATCTTGGATTTTGAAGGCTACAGATCACAAATTCAGCCTAAGTCTATTCTTCAACGGTGATTAAGTCCATTAAGCACCGATTTGGGTGGATTTCTTTGGGATCCATTTTTGGCGGATTTCAAAGAGGTAACATCATAGATTTCGGGGGATTTTTCCGAAATATCATTTTTTCGATTTTGGAGGCTACAGATACGAAGTCAGCCCGAAGCTATTCTCCACCGATAATTGTGTCTATTGATCGTATTCTCCACGTATGATTAAGTCCATTCAGCATCGATTTGGGCTAATTTGTTTTCGGTTGGCATTTTCGTAATTGTTCGGGACATTTTTCCGAAAAGTCATTTTCCTATGATTTTGAAGGCTACAGATCACGAATTCGGACTGAGGCTATTTTTCAATGATGATTAAGTCCATTAAGCACTGATTTGGGCAGATTTTCCCCAGTACATTTTTGGCATATTACAAAGGGATACCATAACAAATTTTGGGCGATCTTTCTGAAATGTCATTGTCTTTCAATTTTAGAGTTCAAAAATCACGGATTTTGCCCGATGCTATTCTCCGTCGATGATTAATCCATTAAGCACCGATTTAGACGAATTTATTTTCGGATAACATTTTCGTAATTGTTTGAGCTTTTTTTGAAAGACCATTTTCTTTGGATTTGAAGCCTACAGATTACATATTCGGCCTAATACTATTTTTCAACGATGATTAGGTTCATTAAACACTTATTTCGGCGGATTTCTTAGGGTTACATGTTATTGCAGCCTTGGCTCTTGACGACCATACAACTATCCTCAAAAACAGTAAACTTTCCTACAAGGTTGAAAAGATTTAAGAGGGAAACTTTCTGGCTAAAGTGACCCAAAAAAGGAATAGTGTATTGCTGTACGTTCTGAATGATTACAATCGTTGTTGGGTTGTTGATGAAGCTGCACTGGAATTTTGTTCTCTGGTTTCAGCTGTCTTTGCTTGTATCAGTTTGTCCAAGATCGGTGGCTCCAATGGGGTTGGGTCGAGGCAACGATCAGAAGCACCAACGATTACCTGATTCACATATAATCCACGCCCGTCAGATAATCAGAAGGATAGACCTACCTACATATGTTCTGTCTCTTACTCGCTAATCTTGCGTTACCAACTTAGCAGGGTAAAGAATTTCTACTCTGTTTCCTTCAACGTCTTTTCTATACCCAAATGAATGAACATTGCAGAATTCCAACTCAATGTAGATTCTTAGTTATACCTCATCAAGCAAGAAGTCAATGGCAGCTTCATCTTCAGCTAGCTCCTTCAGCGGGGTCCTAAGGAACTGGATGTCCAACTGAATTTGCTGGAACCCACTCCGGTTTAGAGTCTGGAGGCGAACGAATTCTTGCAAGCTCTTGAGACCGAGTTTGATAATGGTAGTCACAACCGACTCCTGCAAGTTTACATTGAAACCCATTCCTCATTAGAATACATACATGATAAGACGCGGCAGACTTGAATTCCCACTTATAGTTAGAGAGCAGCAGGTTCGTACCCGTGTGAACTCGACTTTGGTAAAGATTTCAACTTTCTGCTTAAACAACTTTGCTAGGTGGGTTTCCAGAAGTTGGCTCCTGGCTTGTTGTGTATTTGACCGCCGAAGTTTATCATCTCGCAATGGATTGCTTAGAGAGGAAGTAGTACTTCCATTGCTCTCAGATCGACGATGCTTCCTTATTCCTTGAGAAAGAATCTGCTTAACCTCATTCCCTACTGCTTCCAACTACCAAGGGAAAATAAAACCAAAAGATGCAGGTCGTTAGTCTTGGGAAACTCCACATATACGGATTACGAAAATATGATAACATTCAGTAATGTCAATAAACCTCTTGGAGGAATAGATCAACGAACATGTGAACTTCTCTTGGCTCCTTGTGCTGCAAGGAGAAGTCGATATATGTCAAGATTTCAATAATAATCTCTTCAACGTATAATGCATCCAAAGCAATGAGCATATCATACTAACCTTGACCCAATTTGGAGTTGTGAACCTTTTCCTCAAAAGCACTGATATTCTATACGCTCTCATATTTATATACTGACAGAGTCGAATATTCCCAGTAAATTGGCCAGCACAAGTGCAATACATGTACCCAAAAGAAAACAGAGATGGCCTCAAAGAGAACATTATCAGAGTGAAAATTTTCAATTTTAAGAGTCGCCAATCATGTCAAGTATAATAATAGCAAGTTGAAACAGTTTTAATTCCACAAACAGCTTAAAGGAAGATGGAACTAAACAACGCCTAGCAATGAAAAATGATAGGCTGAGGGGTTTTCACAAGTAGCAAAATGCTTTCCATGGCCACATGAAACAAGCATGCTCAAGCAAATAACCATATTGAATATGCCAGTTATGAAGTAAGCATGCCAGCTAATGAGTGAAGGTTAGATAAAGTTTAAACTCATACATGGTGCAGAAACTTCTCGCTGGCTGATCGAAAAACTCGACATATTTCAGCAGGAAGAAAGAAAGGTCCATGTTCATACCCCCGAGCACCACTACCAGAGAAAGAAGCAGCCATTTCCTGAAAGATTGGAACATGTAAGGCTGCGGTTAGCTCCAGAGAAATCATCAAATCCACTTATTACCCAGAAGCTGCAGTGAAAATCACACAAGAAACTAGTACAGTCCTTGCCTCGGTAATTCTGGGGATTGCAGTTTGTTCGACGAAAACAGAAAGCTGAGCCAAAACCAAGACAAGACCACATATAACTTTTTCAGACTGTAACCCTTCCCTTGGACTCTGACCCTGCGAACTTAACTTATTTCTCCCTGAAAGCAAAAGAAACCGAGTATCCAATGCCTCAAAGAATTGTTGGAACCCTGCTTGAACCCAATCAGTCATCAGTTCCCTTAGCTTGACTAGCAGGTCCAAGTTGTCCTCCAAAAGTTGGCGGAGGCCCTGGAATAAAAGTGTTCAAACACGAGACAACAGTCAGATAAGCATGGATGGATTTACGGAGGAAAACTATAACAAGTATGTACAACAACACTTGAAAATGAGCCTACCAAATGAACAGGATTAATATAAATTGATCATATTAGAAAATCAAAACCATAACTACAATACAAAACAATGAATTGCATATGCTGGCAAGGACCGGGTTCAATGAAGGGCACACAAACTCACACTTACACATCCTAAAAACTTAACAACAGATTCAATCTGCCCTCGAAAGAAAGAATTGATACGAAAACAATAGATACCCTCATGACATACTTGGAATGGATTTCGATAATATACAACTTAAGATTTCCGGCATGCATTGCCAATAGAAAATCTTTAAAGTCCTCATAGTACCAGTAAAAGGTCCATGCTTCCTTTGAGCAATGAGTTTTTCCCAGATTCCAAAGCAACCTGTAAATGATGTTCTTCTGACACATCCTTTGGTTTGACATGAACATTCATCAGAGCATCTGCAGGTTCATTAAAAATAAATGTCTGTGCAATAACCTGTGAAATATAGGTAATTAAGACATAAGGACTATAGAAATTCGGGAGTCTGGGCCTAATATTCTTCTAACAAAGCCATTTGCATATACAGTGGCTTCCATTAGAGAGCTGAGACTAAAAACTTCCCGTTCGAACACGATGTTTTATCCTAATAACACTACCATGATTTGGTAAAGACAAATCAAGGTTTCTCCAACTGTACCAGTTACCTGAAACATCCTGGAGAAGATGAGAAAACGTGCTTGAAAAATACTGTTTGACAGCACTCTGGGATACCTGAACCATGTATGAAGATTCAGAAGATGAAGAGTGACAATGCAAAGCACAAGAGGGAAAGGGAGGACAAACTTGGCAAAAGTAGACAGTACTTTCTTAATTCAAGAAAAAAAAATTATACCTTAAAACAGTAATCATGGAGCAAACCCTCAGGCAATACTTCATCAATCACAAGGACATCATTCCATATAATTCCTGCAGTTGTTAGGCGTATATTAGAAACAAAACACACCAACGAATGTAAACTGAAGACATTAAGGTCAACTAGCTTTAGGGTGAAAGAGGGAAAACTGATGAGCTGATACCTCAACCAATATAAGACACAAAGATTTTGGCCTATCGACCTGTAAATCTGTAAGTTAAATTTGCTTGAGAAGACCTTTGCTTCCTCCTTTTTATCTTGCTTATTTTTTTCTGACACGCCCATTCATTTTTCATTTTTCACATGTCACCAGTTCATCTCTACATGCATACGCTACACAGACGGTATACCAAGAGACTTTTAACAGAAACCATGAGCAACTGCAACAATAAAAACAGGTAGGAGGAGGAGGAAAAGGGGGCTGAAGTGATTGGGCATATGAGTAGGGACTAGCTTTCTACCGGAAAAAGAAGGGACTGCCAAGAGATATTAATTCTCAGAGATATCAGACTTACGTAGAACACGTAGAAAAGTTGCAGTTGAAACTCTCTCCTTCATGTATTGCTCAGTTGTTAGAAAATGCCTAAAAAGGGTAAAAGATCATTGCAAGAAAAGTTTAATGCATTAAAACAACAGTTATAACTTGAAGATGCCATGGCCAACAAACTAATGAATAAAACATGATAAAGACTCAGAGTCTCACTTGGTAATCAAGTCCTCAGAAAGTTTAATCAGTTGAGATTCCGAGTCAGGAAATATTATGCGATATGCTCGAACAGCCTCCACAAACTCGCGAACAGAAGCCTAAATCATATCATAAGTATAAAACAGCAAATTAAGTGTATCATATTTACAATAAAGTATATAAGATAATCTGAGAGTATGCAGTAGAAAGGCAGCCACTAGTTCCACAATTAAAAACCACAAAACAGAGTGGATCCCTATGCAGCAGAGAGAAGACAATCAAGTACAACACATGTTATGGAGGTTCAAAACAAAGATTGGTACACACATCTAAGTATATTTGTATTAGCCTTCCATTTCATACACACAAAATGCTGAAGGTCCAAAAGGACACGAGTGTTGACAGGGTTTCTGAAGGCAATAGTATGAGAAAAGAAAATAAACACAGAGAGTTGTAACAATGCAAATTCCCGACCACCTATTTTCACTATCTAGGTTTCAGATCACCATAAGCAACTTGATTGGATTCTTGTCAATGAACAGCTAGAGGTACATCTGTGCTTTTCCCTACTTACATCATGTGGTACAGAAAAACCCAGCTGCAGATTATTCTCATGTTCATCATTAGACTCTTCCAATGCACCAGCTATGTCCCCAATCTTAACCTGAAGATCCCCCATAGATTGTTCCAGCTTTTCAAATAGTCTCACCTTCAAACCATCCACCTGTTCAAAAGAGACTTGATTTTTTACATACAGAGTGCAGATATCATGGAGTCGGATATAGCACTGCCCAGGAATACTCCCCTCACACTGCTTGTGAAGCCCTCGTTTCTGTATTCCCTGAACCTTTTGTGCTATCTTTTTCATTTCATTGCTTTAATCATCATTATAAAGAAAAGAATACTCCCCTCACAAGAACACTGATAAGCCAGCCTAACCAGAACATTATTTAAATATGAGCAAAGAACACAAACCGGAAAATCTAACTGTTTCAGTAGAACTGCTGCTTCAGCCCTCGTCTGTATGGATTCAGAGTCTGAGAAAAGCTTTCCCTGAGAACGATAACACATCACAAGATGTAGCATTAGCTAGAATTCCAATTCTTGTGCTTCATATAGAAAAAAAAAGCTTGACATCAGGGCAATTGATTTTCTTAAGTCTGGAGATATAAATCAACATAGTGACATTTAACAAATATGTGCAACCCACTAGTGCAGACTTTACAACAGAATGTGAAATCACATCTATTTGTTTTCCCAGAGGATTCCTACTCCCATCCAACAGAAGTTGACAAGACCAGAGGGAATTGCAGAGATGATAATAATTCACGGCTTAGTATACACAAAGTGAGTGAACCTGTAAGTTTTTGGTAATAGTCACAACAGCTTCTTCGGATGCTCGCTTGCAGTCCTGGAAAGAAGATTCGCCATATGCCTGGTAATTAAGCAGTGAACACAATTGTAAGAAAAAGGAATCCCAAGTTCACCGGAAGAAAGGAACGCTAAGGAGATGAATATGAATAATTAAGAACGAAAGTGAAACAAAATTGAATGCAAAATGCTGGTAACATAAAACTGTGCATGCGAATAGAGTACCTTAAAAATTGGCATTGCTCCAGTGTAGAACCTGACTGCATCAGCATAGGCCTCTGTTTTAATACACTTCCCAAGCCTAGCAGGTAGATCATAGATGAACTGCTCTTTTCCATAGAAAACAACTCTGTGTTACTCATACAGGACCACTCGTAGCGTATAAATCTCTTAGCAAGGTTACAAGAACCCTGGCAGACAATCTACCTTCAAATAGTAATAAAAACCTAGGATGTGCAATAGCATTGAATACCTGGACTTTACGAAGAAGATTACGTGTGCGATGCAATTTCTCTATATGCTCTCTCTTTCCAAAGAGAGAAGTGTTCACTCCATCACTTCTAGATTGCACCGACATGATCTACAATGATCAGTAGATGCAACTGTTCAGAAATATCGCTTTCACCATGGTATGTAAATAATAACTTCTACAGACCTTGTCAAGGAGCTGCTCCATGTTAGATTCCATCCCCACAATGTTGCTCTTCATCCTAACAACATTAATCTCCACCCATATGTAAGGTTCCTAACAAAGTTGGGTGCATAACCCCCATCAAACCAAATCACAGAAAGCTCTGGTTGTATGAAAACATTCATACCTCTTGATTGCATCAGTGGCACTGATAAACTTGTTGTAATTCTCGTATACTAACATTTGCAAATCAGTGTCAAGATTCTTAATTTCAGCAGCCATTTCGACATGCCTTTGCAGAAGCCCTTCCAAGTTAGCCTTTTGCACCTAGAATTAATCATGCCCAATCTCTCAGAAAACATTTCAACCTCCAATGTCAACCTAACCAGCAACACCCAACCACTCAGTCACCCAAGTACACATCGATCGCAACGTAACAATTCACCAGTACGTACATTTCCATTTCCAAACACTAGCAAACTGGAAACTTAGCAACTAGAGGAAGATCTATGTACCAGGAGATTCATGTACTGGTCCGCGTCAAATGAGTCCGTGTCGATGTTGTCAAAGGAAGCACCTTTCGGCTGACTTCCCGCAGACATTGAAGGATCTGGAGCGTAGAAGCTCGACAGCAGATCTCTCATTCTCCTCGCTTTGTCGTCCAACGGGGGGTCTTCCATCTCCATTTTTCTTCTTTCACCCAAACTCCTCTCCAACTATCGATTGATATCGATGCACTAATTCATGTAACCCAATTCAGCATTGATCGGTACAAACTCAGGTGAAAAGAAGGAACGGAGATCTCACCCTCGGCGGCAACAGCAGTGAATGCCGTTGAGGGGACTGACGGTGGTACTTCTTCTTCTTCCTCCTACCAATACCAATGCTCGATCGCCTTCTTTCGCTCTCCTCGAATGTGAACGTTCCCCTGTTCGACGGGAACACTTGTCTGTTAGCTCCGGCCACCGGTAGAGATTTCGTTCAGAGAATTGAGTAGAGACGAGCGGGAATGGAAAGGAAAGAGGAGAACTCACTCTGGCGATTCAGGAGAAAAGAATAGGTCAATTTACACAATGGCCATTGAACTTTTCCGTTACCAAGAAATTAGGTCAATTTCACCCTAATTCCAATTCCGCTTCGGAATCGGAAAACGCCATTCCACCCTTCTATTTATACACTACTAGCCGAAGATCTAACAAACTGCATTAATTCTTATAGCTTCGTGTCCCCGTTTCGCGCTCTCTCGCCAACATGACAGAGCCGACGGAGCAACCCGATTGGTTACAACTTCCCGGTGACCTCGTCGAAACAATCATACACCGCCGGTTAACAAAACTACAAGACTTCATCCACTCCCGATCCGTTTGCAAGCAGTGGAGATCGCTCCCCCTGCCGGAGTTCCGCCAATCCCTGCCGTGGCTGGTCTCGCCGTGCAAGTCAAAGTCAGCAAACAAGCCCAAAGCCGTCGGTTGCAACGGCAATTTGCATCGCATCACGGACGTGACGGCGACGGCGACGGAAATTAAAAACAAGAAGCCCCGCCTCCAGCACGTCAACTTAGCCGACGGCCCGCGGCGGGTCGAGGTTCAGTGTCTCGGCTCGGCCTTCGGATGGCTGCTCCTAAAAGAAGAAAGATCATCGCCGCCGTCGTGGGGCCCAATCCTGTGCTTGATGAATCCATTGACGAGAAACAAGATCTACCTCCCGCGGGAGACGACTGCAGGACAGGGCACCTGCGTACCGTGCTGCATAGCCAGGTTTCTGATGTCGGCCGCCCCGACGGCGACGAAGACAGAGGAGTCCATCACGGTGGTGTTGTTGTACCAGGACGGCGGCGGAGGACTGGCTTTCTGCAAGCTTGGGTGGGACGAGCGATGGACATTGGTCCCTTTCCACGATCACCTCCCGAGGAATAAGGTCGCGGAGATTGTATCTTGGAGGGGTAAAATTCACGTCCTTTGCGAAGATGACGGGAGGGTTTTGGCCTATGATCATCTGCAGCCCAAGTTCTCGTTGGCTTTTCTTGCTGAAAACTCTGCGAATCTCTTTAACGGCGAACGGCCATGTAATTACCGGTTGGTGGTGAGCCCAGAGGGGGAGCTGATGCTGCTGATCAGTCATTGTGAGTCGGTGGGTGGACGAGTCAAGAGATTCAGTATTTACAGGGCGAAGGAAGACGGGAGGAGATGGAGATGGGATGCGGTTGGGAGTATTGGGGATTATGCTCTGTTCTTCGATTCGAGCCGTGCTGTTTATGTGTCCGTCAGAGATCATCCGGAGTGTAGAAGGGATTGTGTTTACTATATGGGGAATGTATACGATCTCAAGATGAACGAGTTTGTTCATCGTTCAGGCGACGGTGGTCCTGCGGTGGGGAATTGGATTTTGCCGTCTAGTTATTAGTTGGCGGTGACTAGCTGTAACTACGAGATGAACAGAGCTGAGAAGACTTGGGGCGAGGTCGAGATCATAAGTGATTACGTTATCTTCTTTGATTCTTCATTGAAGTATATAAATCATACTGTTTATTATGAGCCGGGGAGATAAACAATATATCTTGTATCATATATTAGTTTGATTAGTTTGGGGATGATAAAGACACATAAATAATGGGTGAGTTCCTATTCTTAATTCTCTAATTCAAATCATAAGATTCATTTAATTTCATAATGAAAATCTACAATTTTGATTTGTCGAAATTATTCTAAGTACAAATAATAGGTGTGAACACGTACATATAGGATATTGCGTACGCTAGTCCAAACTCCAAACTAGTTTACGTCATGCATACGCTATAAGCCTGTGTTCACACTACTGTACGACCGTCAAGTTTTATTATTAAGAACACGAATTAATCGGAGTTTGAGGAATGATACTACTCTAACCTCTAATGGGTGAACCCCAATCCCTAATCAGCTAATCCTCTAACCCGACCCACAAAATTCATTTAATCTAAAATAATAATAACTGACAGTTCTGATTCATCGAAATATATCAAAATGCACAATGTATAGTCATTAAGATCTAAAAAAACATGTTATTTCCTTCGAATTCTAACTGGAGCATTAGGATGAATCCATGCACAAAAGAAATTTTGCGATTCTAACTGGAGCATTAAAATGAATCCATGCACAAAAGAAATTTTGTGATAAACAAATTTCGAGCTAAAAGTACAAAGTACATGATATGTTGTATGTATTGATGTTCTTCCGCTAATACTTGCCTTCATCATTTGTCAATAACGTCGTCAAATAAGTTAGTTCGTTAATTGTTATAATCTTGTAAGTGGCTCATCATCATCTAAAGGCAACTAGGTTGTTTGTTTCTGTTATGGTTTCAATCCGCCGCCGGCTTTGTCACTCTCTACGGCGACAACAAATTTTCCTCTATTCAGTCGTCGACGATCTTGTTCCGACGGAAGCTCTGACGTACTGGACTTTCCCTCCAGGGCCTAAAGTACTGTTTTAACTAATAGCATTTAACCAGCCGGAGAACCATATGCTTTGCCCTGCATTAAAAGATGCACTATTCGTTGAAAATAAAAGTACTCTTGAGAGATAGACGGAGCCATATGGCAATGTGAGAGCGTTGGTGCTCTACGGAGGCAGCCAGATAAATGGAGAAGAAGATGTTGTAATAACGATAATAGTGATGCTGAAAGACAAGGAATGCTCACACAATATTATTGAGCAATGGTAAATATAGTATCATACGTGGGCGAGAATTTGATTGGAATTTACCACTATAGAATATAAGGTGTCGATCAGAATTGTAAATATAGTATCTCATGATAAAATTTGGTTTTCACCAATATCTCATAAACAAGTACGATGAGAAGCAAGCAATGAATTGATATCTGATTGGGTTGCTGACTATAGTATCAATATGTTCCTTTGTGTCGACTAGAATATCAATATGTTCTTTGTGAAACATGTTATATATGCAAAGAATCATTAACTGGACGTGTAAACATTTGAGTTTCACAATTTATGGTACAATTAAATCTCACAATCTAAGCATGTCACTTATCGTTCTCACTCCATGTAAAGCATGTTTGCATGCATGTTGTAGCAGAGAATATCATGAGCAATTCTTCATGTACATTACATGAGAAATGCAAATGATGGACAGTCATTTCACAACCGAAAAGTGATGCATACTAGCATCACTTGCTTCAGACCATAGTGTTTCCATGGGTGTTAATAGTTGCCTGGTTTTGATACGCGATGTCACAGAGTCTAGAAAGTTCTGGAGTATTTCCTGATCTCGTACATGATGGAGGATATGGAGACGAGATCTTTGTTGAGAGTCGATCCGCCAGTGATTCTCTTGATGGAATCGGATAGCCTGGTGTAGTAAAGGAGGAGCTGGGTCAGTGCAGCCCTCAGGATCTCCATCCCGCACAAGAAGTTGCTGAACGAGGTGATGACGTCCTTGTGCATTAGCTCGATCGCGGTTTTCCACCGACTGGCAAAGTCTTTGACGAGTGGTTCGACTTCTGAGATAGCTATGGGCTTATCTTGATTGGAATTTGGGTCCTCCGCTGGGTAAAGAGGTAAAAAAACTATTAGCAGTGAAGAGAAGATTGTTGAAGGGAATGTTCATATTTTTAACTTGCATATGATTGTAATGCTCACAGGCTCGAGTCTTGACGAACTTGATTAGGTCCCCAAAATGTCCCACAAGGAGCTCCTCCTGCGAGGAGAGATCAGTAAGAAGGAACCCAAAGCAGAAGAATAATTTAAGCTTTGAGCCTGAGGAAGGGTACAACAAAAGACGTTCTCAAATGCATGATTTTTCAAGGGGTAAGCTTCTTCCCTAACGGGATTTTGGTTTGTTCCGCTTAAAAGGAACATGACTACCACGATCCAGCACTGTTTATATTTCCCTTGTCTAAATTATTGTACGTCTGTGAATAATGCTTACCACAAACAATGCTGTGTTGCTCTTCAGCAGTTCCTCAAAATGCATTTGAATCTTCCCACCTTCAGGACCTGCTTCCTGCAGTTCATAGAGGAACAGTAAACAAGACACTGAGAAAAAAATATTATTCACTTTGAATCCTCAAAACAAAACGATCTTCATACCTTGACTACAGCAATCGTCATGTCATAGTTGTTTATAAGGAACACAATCTGTTGTTTCAGCTTTGGGAATGTTTTAGCAAGCTTGATAATCAAGTCATCAATAGCCATTCTGAGCCTTTCCATATTCAATTCAAGCTGCACGCATATCAAAGATCTTAAGAGGTTGTAGGCACTTATCCTGAAAATTGGAAGAGGAGGTGGAATAAAATAATAATCTGTCTGACCTGTCCATCTCCATATTCGACATTGAGATGAATAAGAGAAGCAGTGAATTCAGCATAACGCCTCATGACATAATGAGGATGGATATCATCTTCCCACAATGTCTTTATATTAGCGTTCCTCAAACTACTAAGGTGCATGTCGAACACGAGCTTGAAACGGGGCCACAATGCTATATTGACCTGCCCATCTCAAATATATTACGAAGTGTTTGTTCTGTTTAAATAATAAACTCACTTAGATCCTGAAACATATGCACTTCATCAATCTAGCATTTTAGAACAACTCCTCACGGTGGACCTCACAATTAGAAGCCACTTCACTGAAAGCATTTGATTTCCAACTTTATACGTTGTGGCATTTCCGTAAACTGTCTCATTTATTTACTTTTTATAAACCCTAAATAAACCACATATTTTCATTGCTTCAACAAAAACTTTAAGAAAATGGCAATTATCTTTTATCAAAAGATAAAACAAACTCACCCTATGTTTTCCCTTTCCTTCAATATGGAAAGCCACTTACTAGAAAACTCTGCTTCAGTAGCTGGTGCTTAAATATAGGATAACTTACCTTGTCTAGATATGAGTCTAAACATGGAATTCGTCGCCGAGACATAATTAGCTGAAAAAGAATATAAAAAAGATTCAGCAATAGGATGGGATGTAGGGCCAATTCAAACTGGTAATCAGCAGAAAGGCTTCTGGGGGCCATCACCTGATGTTGATGTATGATACGAATCATTAGCATTAGACCTATTGCATCATAACTGTTCGGCAGTATTGAATTGAAGTGCTCATCAATAACAGCAAGGGGACCTAAGAAATCCATAGACAAAATCAACAATTGCATTATGCTATGCATATTTAGGTAGAATCCATAACTATATGCAGTTGTTTAATATCTTTCTCAGTTACCTGCAAATATTTCATTGAACATGGACTCTTCTCCAAAGAACTTATCACAGAAAAGATACCTGCAGGAAGAAGATCAAAAAATCCATATACTGCGAGCTATGGGAAATTAAAAAGAATATACATCTGAAAGCAATTCCATCATACTCTGAAGTGGCTGTATCCATTAGCAGCTTGTGTAAGCTCCTGAAGAGGACCTCATAAGGATACTTCTGTGAACTGGCTTCAGCTATATGTGGAATCAATGCTGGCTGCTCAATTTCCTGTCAAAGTAATCCAAGTCAAAGAAGGCTTCATATCTTACTAGCAAAGGTTTCAATGGTAAAGGAGAAGTCTCAAGCCAAACCACATTATGCAACCAAGAAATAAGAGAAGTATCGTACAAACTACCAGGTTAAGCTGGACAAGGCTCAGACACAAAAGAGGAGGGTATCATGCATGGAGTTCAAACAATGATGCATTTACTATTGCCATGAATCTTCAGGAATAAGGCAGGAAACCAAGTATAGAAATAAATCACCCAAAGAGGGAGTTGGTCAGGAGAGAAAACTAGATAGAAGTATATAAACCTTCAAGATGTTAATCCTATCTCCCAAAGCAAAAACAGCTGATCGATTCTTCAGCGGCTCTCTGGCTCTTGAAAACAAACCAGCACTTCTGGTCTCCACACCAATCAAATCACTGGAAGTCGCTATATCTAACTGCAATTTCTCCAACGCTTGAATGTATGCACGGAAATGTGCACTTAGAACCTGCAAAACTCGAAGCTAGGGAATCAAACTAAAGAACCTGCTTGCCCCATTGCAACTATACAGGAACAGGTACCAAGACCCTACAAAATATACAAGACAAAATAGTTCACCTTGTTCATTGTGTCAATGTATGCACTGCGAACTTCAGTGTACACCTCTTTGCCATGATCTTTTAAAAAGGAAATGGCGTACCTACAAGTTGAGGCAGATACTTATAAGACAATGATATACCAGTGGCAGGAAGAGATCAATTGACACAAATAGTTTGCTGTAGCAGCTGACTTATACAACTACCGCCACTTTACAAATCAAAATGATAGAATATAATTAATCATACCCCATAAAGTATTCATTGGAGGCATCCAACCAAAAAAGACAGCAAAGTAACTCACTTGTACTTCAAAAGAACACTTTGTTGAAGGATCTGGATATTCGTTTTAGGTTTTCTCAGAGCTTGAAGCTTCTGAACAATAAAATCAAACACCTGGAGAAAGAGATAAGCATGACTTAGTAACATTTATTCACCAAGGAACCTGTTGAAGGACAATAAGGTATACACATAATGACATGCACCATTACCTTTGACACTGCTTTCTGCCTCAGCTTGTCAAGCTCAGGCTGAACATCCTTCAGAGCTTTA